ATAAAAAAAAGAAAAATATCACCCCAAAGTCATTACAATTTTAAAGAATTTAAAAGTAATAATTTATATGTCTTCAAAGAAAAGAAATAGGCTTGTGTTGTCTAATATAAATAAAAAGTTTGAAGAAGCTATTATGGGCAGAAGCCAAATGTTTATAAATTTATAGATTCATTCTAATAAGTTATATGTAAATTCTACTAATTTTCACTGGCATACTTTTTCCAATGATAACAACTTCCCTCTGCAAACAGGAAAACAATAGCTATTTCTATTAGACATAGAAAGATCATTTTTAATATCTAGTGCAATAGCTACATTCAAATTCCTTTTGTATGTTATATCCACTTTTCTATGGATTAGTAAGATTGGTTTTGGTTTTAATGGAATGGGATGAGGAAGGTGACGGTGAATGAGAAATATCCCAAACTTTGGAAGAAACCCAGATTCATTGTGTGTGTAGCTTGATGTTGGAGTCATAATTTGTGTGTCTGGATGAGAGAAAGGACTATACTTGTAATGAATATAATCAACAAAACTGAAGAAAGCTGCATAATACAACCTTTAGTCCCAAATAACAAAGGACAACACCTGCTCTTCATGTGATTAGTAGGACTCAAGTTGAAAAGGTTTTTGTATCTTAACAAAAGAGCAATCACATTTTGTAGAATTCTTTTTATTGCCTTCTGGCTCAAAGTTAAAATATAGAATAGAAAACGTGGAGAGTTATGGTTGAAAAGTTTTGAATTCTGGAATCTGTGACACTAGATTTTAAGTATTACTAAACTTGAATTCCAAGTGAATTAATACCTTGAGTGAATTTTCAAATGGGCATAATGTGTAGAGAAACAAAAATTAATACAATCTTCTATTATTATAAATGGTGACATTTTAAAAATGATATTTTGTTTTTTAGTAATTAGGATGAAAACAATTCTCAAAAGTTAAGAGAGGATATTACTGATAAAGATGAATTTCTGTTTACCAAGTACCAGGTCTCCATAACTTAACTTTGAATTTTCTCAGATAAATCAGTGCACTGGGACAAGTCATCAGATTAGGATACCCCCCACCACTTCCACCTCCCAAAGCACTCCCCTTCAGACCTGAAACCCCTGAAAACAAGAGGCGCCTAGCAGCCCTGTGGGTGGAAAACCTACCCTTTGTAAGCCGTAAGCCGACTGCTGGACAACAACCTGAGAGCTTGGAGACCAGCGTGGCCCTCACACTAGGATGCTGTCATTTTACTTCCAGGGAAGAAAAACAGAGGGATTTTCACGCCTGCTATACTCACCCCGATGCCCACTTCCCCTCTATCCCAGCTCCTCCCATTCCCACTGCCCATCTTAAGAAAACTACAAGGAGGTCAGTTTGATTGAAGTCAGATCCATAAACTGAAAGTCAAGTCAAAAACAGGGTTAAGCCAATACATAAGTCCCATAGTAGACTTTTCTATTTAAGAAACAAATATAATCATCCACACCAGAAAAGAGTTACTCTAAATCAAGGGGTCTTTGCTTGTTCTCATAAATGGTATATAAAAGTTTCTGGATATCAACAATTAATCCATTTTGTCTAATTTTACTACTTTCCTACTAATAGTTATCCTACAGAATTCCTATAGATTTTAATTCAAGATAAGCTTGCAACCTAATCAGGCAGGTTTAGTTTTTAAGTTACTAAAGAATATCTTGTTAAAAATCACTCCCCTGCAAGGCTGTTTCATAATACTGCCCATAGAGTGGCACAGAGTTTGAGAACAGGGAAACTGAAATTAGTACAAAAAGAACTTTCTATGTGAAGGTTTCCGCTGATGATTTAAAGTGATAAATGGACAAATTTCTATATTAATATATATTTATTTATATATTTGAAAAATGCAACTCACATCAAAAGAGTACATTTACATCTTAAAATTTTGGTTAGGACACTTTTTGAGGTAATGAAAAGGTTCTCTATTTTAATCTGGAATGGTAGTTACATGGGTGTATACACTTAAGAAAAACTCATCAAACTCCACCCTTAAGATCTGTGCATTTCACGGTGTTTAAATTTTACCTCAATAAAAAAATTAAATTACTATAAAGGTTAATCAAATGAAAGAAAACTACAGTAACTAACAGCACAGAAAATGGCAAAATGATGATGGATTACATGATTCAAGTTTTGGGAACACTGGTCTATAGAAAGGTGAAGAAAAGTAAAATCCAAAAGGAAATTAAATGAGTTTTGAAACGTGACTGTGACTCTTCCCAAGGGCTTCCTCTACTTACTATTCTTTCCTGAAGTATCTCTCTGCCTGGTGCTAGAAGCCAGCTGTAGAGATCTATTATAATATTTATCTTTGTGGAAAGATGCATATAAAGCTAAGTGAATCAAGTGAGCTGCAGTACATGAATTCTATGTTAATAAGCAAGCTTATTAATTAGCACAAATATCCAGACATCTACTCATAAAATGTAAGCGACTTCTGCAACTGGGCTAATGAATTTTCCTGCTTATTATGAAGAATTTTTGCAATAATTTGGGGGAAAATATTTTTTATCAGAAAATATAATAGCTTGAATTCCTTATACATAAATGTATAAATCAAGAAAGTGGTCATTAATTTTGCCTTTCAAGAGGTATAAGTTAAACTCTTGGCATTAATAAAAATAAAGTGTTAGAAAAAAAGATATGCATACATACATACTTTCTATATATAAGCTAAAAAAATTTAGAGGGGGCTTCCTGGTGGCAGAGTGGTTAAGAATCCACCTGCCAATGCAGGGGACAAGGGTTTGATTCCTGGTCCGGGAAGATCCCACATGCCATGGAGCAACTAAACCCGTGCACCACAACTACTGAGCCTGCACTCTAGGGCCCACGTGCCACAACTACTGAGCCTGCGTGCTGCAACTACTGAAGCCCGCACGGCTGGAACCCAAGCTCTGCAACAAGAAGCCACTGTAATGAGAAGCCCACAAACCGCAACAAAGAGTAGCCCCCACTCGCCACAACTAGAGAAAGCCCACACACAGCAACAAAGACCCAATGCAACCAAAAATAAATAAATAAATAAATAAATGATTTTCTTTTTCATTAGGAAAATAAAAAAGAGATCCTTTTCCAATTAGTAACAAGTAATGTGGGAAGGCCTTAGTTAGAAATATGTAAAATTCTACATTGAAAAAAACTAAAGAAAAAATGATAAAGAGACATATTTCTACGTGTGTGCATTCACTTTATAAACAAGTAATTTCTCTCCAAATTAATACATAGATTTTCTACAATACCAATCATCACCTCAACAGAATTTTTCTTGGGAGACTTAACTAAATATTTCTAAAATTCATCTGTATGTTGTTAAAACTATTTAAATTGTGCCTTTATTGAGGTTTCCATGGGAAAGGTAGGGTAGGGTAAACAGTTTAGGACTGGCTACTTTGAATAATTCTGGAAGGCTTTGGTCTAGAGGGGTGGTCTCCATTGGCTGGAACCTGGGCCTGGGATAGTTTAGGGCAAGGGCAATACTGGCTTGGTATTTGAGAATTTGATAAGAAGGTAGTTGGGTGATGTGGGTTTGGAATTAGTTGGTGCATATGAAAGATGTACCCTGTGTCATCTAGAAGAACTGGCTAGTCTTGGGAGGGACAGTCCCTCCCCAAACAGAAAGGGTTTTTAAAATGTCAATTCATCATAATATACATACATACATACATACAATCTGAAAAACGAAACAGGCAAGAACTATGAAAACAATTTTTGAAAAAGTAGGGTAATGAAGGATCACCAATCCACACATTAAAGAAAAGATAAACAATAATTACAGCAATTTAGAATTCTTTTTAAGACTAGATACGTGATATAGAAACATATTTTGACATGTTAAATGCCGTATGTTATATTATGAAGAAGGTATACTATATACTATAAAGAAGATAACAAAAGAAAAACAGTAAAGTAAAGAAGAGAAAGATTATTTATTAGTCAATAAATGGTATTTGGATAACTGGTTTTAGTGTAGGGGAGGAAAAATGTCTTTTTCCTCTGTCCTTCTAAGCTCTCGGTTGGGGCCTCTGTAACAAAAGATAGATTAAAAAGAGAAAAGCATACAAATTTATCTAAGGTAAGTTTTATGTGACAGGGGAGCCTTCATAAGGAAATGAAGATCCAAAGAAGCAGTTCAACCTATAAATCAATCAATTAAAGTAAAAAAAGCCCATGGAAGAAATGGGCAAGGATATGCATAGGCAGTTTTCAGAAGAAATATGTCCAATAAATATATGAAAAATGCTCAACCTCACTAAAATAAAAGAATAAATAACAGCAGACTGAAATAACAATGGCATATTTTTATCCTTTCAAATATTGGCAAATATGTAAAAATTGGTGATATCTAAAGCTGGCAAGGGAGTGGGAAAAGCATTGGTAGTGGTGGACACAAGGAGAGAAACTACTATTCGAGAATATTGTCACTTAAGGAGACTGTCAAGGCTCAACCTATCCCAATCACCGTTTTGACAGTAACTAGAGTTAAACGTATCTCCACACACAATGTATAGAATGACATGTTAAATTTTAAAAATTCTTTTAAAATGCTATTAACTTTATAAATTTTCATTAAAAAGATTCATACAAATGTCTGATATTGTTCTCTACTTAACTTTAAGGTAAAGTCCATATTAAGCTGTGAATTTTAATTATTTGAATTTTCTATGAAGATTGAATGCATTATAATAACATGACATATTAAAAATATTTTAGTATATGAGAGTATGTATAAATAAAAGCAATTGTTTATTTGTTAACTTACAATTTTCTATTATTCTAATATTTGATAATTCTATAACATTGATATAAGTAACTATAAATATTAAATTTTTAGTGTCAACTAACATTTAGAAGAAAAATTTGATTATGTCATTTTGATTTAAAATATTAATTTAATTTTCTTTTAAAAATAGTGTTAATCAGATTGAATTTGAAGTCTGTATATTTGATTTAATAAAACATAATCTTACCCCTTTCTTGGCCACCACAGCAACTTTGCCATCTGCTTTGGATTTGTCTGTAAGATAATAAGGTATGGGTGCTTCAAAAAAGTGAACTACACTCCTGTTCAAATAAATGCAACATTACACAGTTAGAATTTTCTACTTTCTCATACCATGATATGTGTTTTCAGTGGTTCTTTTGATCAAAATGCTAACAAACTCAGCTCCCAGAGTTGAGTAAAACAAAGTAATCCAAAAGTAATAACATCAGGGATTGGTATACTTATTTGACAAACCTCCTCCCTTAAATCTGATGGCTGGTTGGATGTCTACCAGCTAGCATCTAGTGTATCTCATTTCTAGAGAGCGTATGGTCAGCTTATGTGCTCTAGAGTATGTAGGATCTGGAATTAAATCCCAGCTACCTCTACGTGTACATCTATTGGGCTGGCCAAAAAGTTTGGAAAAACTCTAACGACCTTTTTGGCCAACCCTATACTACCAGCCAGACATGTAATAAAGACTTCATAGAGACAATATCTTATTTAATCCTCGTGATAGTTTTAAAAGGGGCGTACTCCATCCGCACTTCACAGCATGAGGTCATGCAGTGGGGGCAGATCCATTTGACTACAAGTCCCTAAGCTTTATGCTTGCTGCCTCCATCTGGGGTCCCTGAGCTGCCAACAGTGCATCAGAGAAAGACTCAGCAAGAATGAAGAGTCTAATCAAATAGAGAACAGATGACCTTTGAACAACATGTGGATTTAAAGTGCCAACCCCTTGCACAGTGAAAAATCCACATATAATTTTTGACTACCCTAAAACTTAACTAATAGCCTACTGTTGACTGGAAGCCTTAGTGATAACATAAACAGTCGAGTAACATATTTTGTATGTTATATGTATTATACACTGTATTCTTCCAATAAGGTAAGCCAGAGAAAAGAAAGTGTTATTAAGCAAATAGTAAGAGAAAAACCATTTACAGTACTGTACTGTATATATCAGTGCTGTAAGTTATCTGTTTACAAGATGAATCATCTGCCTGTCAGTACCTACAGCAATAATGTCTTCTATGATACAAAACACTGTAGATGTCATATGTATTACTAACACTAGATATCAAAAATTAAAAGATAATGTGAAAATGAAATTCATGTTTAACAAAGAAACAGTAACATGACTGCTTTATGGTTGCCTAGTGTAATTGATATGATTGTTTCACAGTAGCCTTTCCTATACACTAATGAATGAATGGTTATCACATTTTTATGGCATAGAGTAGTAGAGTCATAATCATAAGATAGGATGGGAAACACTGTTACATTTTGTTTAAAAACCCTTACCTGTGATGATAGGTTGATATGCAGTATCTCCAATTATGAGAGAGAGGAAGACAGACATACTGTATGGTAATATAATTCTTTGAAAGCAAAGTTATAAGACAGTAAGAAAACTAACATGTTATTACTTTTATGTTAAACATCACTCACCTTATGCCTATATAAGGTTAGGCTATCCACCTCAAAACACACCATGCACACAATGTTCTACATGATGAATACTTGGGCGCTGACGATGATGAGGACACAAAAAGTCTCATACAGTACTTGCCATACAGGTATTCGATTTTCACACGAAGATACTCTCATAATACACAACAGATAAGTTTATTAACTGTATGGCAAGATGATTATTTACTATTCATTGAGTAGAAGTGGATCATCATAAAGGTCTTCATCCTCATCAACTTCATGCTGACTAGGCCGAGGAGAAGGAAGAGGAGGAGGGGTTGGACTTGCTGTCTCAGGGGTGGCAGAGGCAGACAAAGTGGAGGAGATGGAAGGGGAGACAGGAGAGGCAGGCATATTCTGTAGCTTTACAGAAGTACATCTTAATTTCTGTCTGACTTTTTTGCTTTTTCATTTCTCCAAAAATGTTTCTATATGGTACCAACCCTTCTTCCACCGTTTGCTTTAGTTTCAGTGCCTGTATCGTAGAAGGGTTCCTGTTGTTTTGCTTTAGCCCATATCATGGAAGAGTCCATGTCATAAAAAGTCAAAACCCATCTTGAATATTCGGAAACCTTCTGCCAGCTTGTCTGATGTCAATTTGTTTTCTGGCACTGCTTCTTCTACATCCTCTTCCTCATCTAGCCCTGGTTCAGAAGTACTCATCTGTTAATTACTCTGGTGTGTCTCTTAGCTCTTGAATTTCTCTAAGATCCATATCTTGAAACTCCTCGCCCCTGACCCTTTTTGCCTTATCCACAATCTCTTTCATGATTTCCTTGGTTGGCTCCATCGTAAATCCTGTGAAGTCATGCACAACATCTGGTCACAGTCTTCTCCAGCAGGGATTTACTGTTTCAGGCTTGATGGCTTTCACGACTTTTTCTATAACGACAATGGCATCTTCAATGGTATAATCCTTCCAGACTTTCACAACGTTCTATCAGGATTCTCTTCCACAGATTTGACAATCCTTTCCATAGAGCACTGTGAGTAATGAGCCTTACAAGGTCCTTATGACCCCCTGAATTAGAGACGTTGTGTTTGGGGGGCAAGTAGGCCACTTTGACGCCTTCAGTGTTGAACTCATGGGGTTTTGGGTGGCCAGGGGCATTGTCTAATATCAGAAGAACTTTAAAAGGCAGTCCCTTCCTGGCAAAGTACTTCCTGACTTCAGGGACAAAGCACAGATGAAACCAATCCAGAAAAAGGCTTCTTGTCATCCAGGCCTTCTTCTTGTAGTACAACCAAAAGACTGGCAGCTGCTGTTTACCTTTTCCCTTCAAGTCTTATGGGTTCACAGCTTTATGGATAAGGGCAGTCCTGATCATAAACCCAACTGCATTTGCACAAAATCATACAGTTAGCCTATTCTTTCCTGCTTTAAATCCTGATACTCGCTTCTTTTGCTTACTAAAAAATATCCTTTGTGGCATTTTTTTCCAGAATGCACTTTCATTGGCATTAAAAATCTGTTCAGGCAGACATCCTTTCTCCTCAGTGATTTAATGGTGTCTGGGAACTTGTCTCTTGCCTCTTGGTCAGCAGAAGCTGCTTCTCCTGTTATCTTGACATTTAAGCCAAACCTCTTTCTAAAATTATCCAACCATCCTTTGCAGGCATTAAATTCTCCAACTTTAGATCCTTCACCTTCCATTTGCTTTAAGTTGTCAAATAATGACCTCACTTTTTCTTGAATCATATTAGAGTCTAAGGTATGTCCTTCTGATAGCAAACCTGCACCCACATTAAGGCCACATCTTCAAGATAAAAAGGTACTGCACAAAAAGTGCAAGGTTTTTGCACATGCTGGTGTAACCACAGTGACGGCTTCACAAATTTCCTTTCCTTCTCTTTCTTATTTTTAAACAATGGTTGGATTCATCCATCTTGAAATGGTGGCAACTTCAGCTGCAGACCTCAATCTATGGTACATACCAAGCATAACTTATTTCTTGGGAGCACTTCCAACATCACCAGTGGCACTCTGTGGGTCCCATGGTGTTATTCAGGGTTTATGGTATTGCAGTAAATATTATGGAAAATATTGGGCTGGCCAAAAAATTCGTCCAGTTAGTGAATACATTGTTCAATAAAATTCTTGGTAAAAATGAAAAATGCGTCTTTTATTTTTACTTAAAACCGAACGAACTTTTTGGCCAACCAAATACATGAGAACCACGAGAAAGAACTTTCTACTGTGATATGCAACTTAGTGGAAAGACGAAGTGCTCATGTAGAGGCGACTGGTGTCACAGCATTTTAAGCAGATGTGCACTACATTTGGGCTCACTGCTACAGCAGCAGGAGATGGCTAGGAAAGTATTACCGTAGTACAGTGTGTATCACAGTTATCTTTATGCAATCATGGTTTAATACTGCATCTTTATGCTTGTTTACATTTCTCTCGACTATGAATGGTTCCACGTACTATCTGTGTTTGCATACATTTTGATAAATTTTAACTTTTTATAATAGATTTGTGCATATTTCATGGTAGTAAATGATAAAATAGACTAGTATCTACATATATTTTAATCATTCATGACATACCTTTTTCTTAATTTTTTCAATATTTCTAGGCTATGCAGTTCATCTGTGAATTTTTTCAAGTTGTCACAAATCTCCCCCAAATTTTCCATATATTTATTAAGTGAATTCGTTGAAATCTGCATGTAAGTGGACTCACGCAGTTCCAACCCACGTTGTTCAAGGGTCAACTGTATAGAAAATTACTTCAAGATGTCATTTTGATATGAGCAAAAGTATATATGTGTGTGTATTAGTAAAAATCATTGGCATAACTGTTGGATTTTTAAAACATGTTTAATCTGGAATTCCATAATTGAATAATTATATGTAAATATTTATTCATAGATATGTTTTAGAATCCTTAATATTGTGGTAATGAAAAATGGAAAGAGCTATGGACATTAATTGTAAATTTTTAGGGTTACATTTAACATTAAAGAAAAATGCATAGAAATTTAATTTATCAATATAGAATTATAATTCACAATGAACATGTAAAACAAATAAAAAGGATAAATACCCATGAATATAAGAGAAAATAAATGCTTGCTATCTAAAAGCAAATTTTGTAGTAAAAAAACTATTTGCATAAAACATAGAAATCTAGAGGAGCAGGTTATTATATTTATACCTACAACTGGCTGGCCACATGTAAACTGCCCCCTGTGCTCAGCTGTGTGCTTGAAATAATCCCTTCTTCTGGAGTACTTTTTCCCTACTGATGAACGTACAAGACCATCTACCAACACAGATGATTCTTCAACTAGGAGAAATTCCCATCTCTTTTGCAAATCCATAGTCACCTTAGTCCATAGAACTTTCTAACTTGTACTGATATTACAGTTACTTCTATATATGTGTAAGCACTCTGCAAGGCTAAGATGTGACTCAAGGCAGGGACCATTTTTCATATGTACAGGTGCTATTTAATTATAGTTAATCAAATATATATGTATTTTATTCAAAATATTATATGGATCTGAAATATACATTGTACCTGAACAAATTAGTATAATGTATTAATTGAA